CCCAAAAGCCTCATGTGGTCACAGGTGGGGTTTTTTCAGAGGTGGCTGGATCCAGGGCTTGTTACACTGGGACTGATTCATGGTGCAACATTAAGACCAAGGATGCTGGGATTAAGGGTGTGAGTGCTACCTGCCCTAAGTAGCCCAGATGAGATATAAGGGATAGAAAGAGCTGTGGTTGCTTCCTTGTTGCTTTGCTACCATGAACTGTGCAATGTCACCATGCTATGGAGCCATCTACAAACTGTGAGCTAAATAAACCTTTCCTCCTTTAACTTTGGGTGTCGGGTATTTTGTTTCAGCAATGAGATAAAAGTAACTATGACACCTTCTTTATGCCTCCCCCAATCCCCTCTTCCTATTACACCCCTCTCCTTCCAAAACCCAAAGCCAACTCCCATCCCCATGGCCTGCCTTGGTGGGCAGGGAGGAACAAACTGTCAGGAACTACACGGCCCTTCTGGAAGAAAGAGCAGTCAGGTGCAGAGTGTGTGGGGAACTCGGCCTCTAGTCTGCCACGCCGATGACTCAGAAGCTAAATATAGCGAGTGATATAAACAGAGCCAGCCACAGAGCAAACACAGGGCCCCCGAGTCCCAGCACTGGCGCACGCGCGCACGCATACACACACACACACACACACACACACACACACACAGCCTCTCCACTGCCCCTCCTCTAGCCTCACTCTTCCCCTGGCACTGTCCTGGGTGGACCTGCCACTTCTGGGATAGACGCTGGCTCTCTCTAGGGGCACTTCTCACTCGAGGGCAAACCTCTGGGGCCTCTGCCCAAGGCTATCCCCTGTAGAACTCAGGTGACCTCATTAACCATGGTCTGAGTCCAGAAAACCATTCACCTACATGGACAGCATCCTGAGGAGTCAGGAAGCAGTCAGGCCTTTCCTGAACAAAGGATCCAGGCTGCCCAGCAGAGAAACTGCTAGTTAATGAACCATGTACTCCAACTGAGTGCTTCAAGAACTGCAAAGCCCAGCCTACGAGAAATCCCAAACTCATCCTCTAACATATTTCCAAAGGTGGCCAAATGTGTTGTTGTTGTTGTTGTTGTCTGCAGTGCTAGTGATCAAACCCAGGGCCTCACACATGCTAAGCAAGTTCTCTACCACTGAGCTACATCTTCACCCCCATAGTTTCTTGTATTATACTTCTCTAAATCCTTTCATGGCAACTCTGCAACAGAGGAAACAGAGGCTCAAGAGGGTTAAGTGAACAAAGACCATGTAACAAAGACCACGTAAGTGGCAGAGCTGGGATTTTAGTCCAGATCTGCCAAAAGTCCAGGATCTTTCCTGTAATACCACAACTAGAGTTTCAACTGAGTGACTGAAATTTTTCTTAGATTTCATTTTCCAAAAAGTCTAATTACTATTCAGGGAATTTCCAAATCTGACTTTTCTGAATGGAGCCACTCCTGGTCCAAGTAAAGGAGCCATTTCTAATATGAAGAATTTCAATCCTCCTGTAGCTTTAGACTCACTCAATGGCCTGCCGCAGCCACTGCTTTGAGAATCTTTAGCTTCATAACATCACCCAGACTCTCCACAAATTTCAAGATGGGCCAATGTGACGTGAGGCTTTTCCAAGGTGGAGGGAACCAGTTCCTCCCTTTCTTCCCTAGGCACCTGCTGAAGAAGACCCTGGCATGGGGAATGCGAAGTAGCTGAGGCTCAGACTTTCCAGCCAGGGCAGCCTGTGAGCTCAGAAACTGAACAGACAAGGGAACACTAGGACGCCACCCTTACAGAACCCAAATCAGAGTACATCACTGTCAGCGGATCAGGGATCCCAGTGCAGCCTTTATCTAAGAGGAGTAACAAGGGAAACCTTCCCACCTGACTCAGTCGGGGGTAGAGCATGTGGCAAGATTTGGAAGAGTTTTATCTCCACCCACTTGGCCTCCAACTCTCTCACTGGTTCAGAAACCCAAAGAGCTAATGGTGAGCATTGGTTGACTAATCTTCTGCCTCTGTTCTCTCCTGTGGATCCACAGAAGCCACTCAGAACCAAGCACTTGGGTAACCAGGTTAGCCTTCCACCTAGCTGCGCTCTTGAGGAAACACGCAGAGATGGCACGTGGCCTGCATACTGTGACACCCAGGGGATTCTGGAACCTGTTGCATGCTGCTCCCCTCCCTCCGTTTCATACCTCCAAGAGAGGTTTCCCTGGCACAAGAAAAAACAATAACTAGGTCTATAACAAGAGACAGAAGGGGGAGCTCACAATTCTTACAAGACTGAAGGCCAGTTTCCACTGTCTGGACATGGTTCCAGATTTAGGAAGGAAGGAGTCAGGCCTCCCCAAACTCCTTAGACCTCTGGGGCTGCATTTAAAGAGGGTCTTTAAATGCAACCCACAATGATGGGAAACAATTATTACTCCCTGAGGACGAAAGGAGAAGGTCGAGGTCCGCAGCTGAGCAGACCTGATACTGGTTTCTGTGGATAGGGCAGGTGGAAGAGTACCTCAGTCTGTCAGCCTGTGAAAATGGCAGGGGTCTGGAGCGTAGTTCAGTGGTAGAGTGCTTGCCTAGCATGTGTGAGGTCCTCAGTTCAATCCCCACTACCACAAAGAGAGAGACAGAGAGAGAGAGAGAGAGAGAGGGAGGAAAAGGGAAAGGGGAAAGAAAATAAAAATGTCAGAGTGACAATACTCTCTAAATATGAAATATTAGACCATAGTTTATGTAAGGGTCAAATTCACAAAGTGACTCCCTTTTTAAAGCCAGATTTAAAAGGTCCAGGAGGGGGCTGGGGATTTAGCTCAGTGGCACAGCACCTGCCTGGCAAGCGCAAGGTCGTGAGTTCAATTCCCGGTACTGGAAAAAAACCAAAAAATAAAAATAAAAGGTCCAGGAGTGCTAGTGTTCTGTCTATCACCCTGGCCCTTTGTGGGGAAGAGAGGGTTAAAAGCTGGAGGACCAGGAATAATTCTTCAAGGAGAGGACAAAAGGCTTGCCTCTTTGTAAGGGAAAACCTGACGAAACCAACTTTTTGGCCTAGAAAGGCCTTAACTGGTCAGCTTCCTGTCCCTGCAAAGTAGGAGAGTAGATGGCTGCCAGGAGGACAGGGGCACAGAAACTTGGGCTCCAATGTGGAACAAAGTGCAGGGCAGGGAAGACTCGTACTTCTCCACCAGTTTTACCTCTCCCCAGCTTGAGTGGTCCTGGCTGAGACCAATCTGGAACTGGCCTTTTTCTTCAAGTAGGCAGCCCTGCACTGGAAGAAATAATACCAGTCGGCAAAAAGCGGGTCAGACCTCAGGATAAGGGCTTCCTTCTCCTTTAACAGGGTGCAGCTGGGCAAAGGAGGCCTCCCAGCCTGCTCCAAGCTGATCAGGGCTCTCCTTGGATGGGGAACATTCTGGGAAACAACTGTTGAGCCAGGTCAGACTATTGTGAATAAAGAAAGCTGTCTTCCAGATGTCCTGTAGATGAAGCTAGGAACCAGCAGCTTCTGTATCCTCCCCCCGCTTTGCCATCACCAGGCCCAGAAGCTAAGATGGGCTCACGCATGAGCCTGTACAATCAGGGCAGAGTGAATGAGTAGGAAGCAGGCCAGGAGACTGAAAGCAAAAATCAGAGGGAACCACAACATGGACCAAAGGGAAACTCAAGTTTCCACACAACAATCGAAGAGAACAGGGACCAAACTGGGACCAGAGCAGGTAGCTAGGATGCCTTATAACCTGAGCTCAGGGCCACTCTCCCTTCCTGATCACGAAGAGCTGGACAAGCTGGCCAGAACCAGATCTAGCCCCAAGTCTCCCTCAGAATCCCCTGGCTGAAGGTACAACATGTAACCCCCAACGGCCTGTTCTCAAGAATCCCAGAGTCAATCTCCATCCTAACCCCAATCCTCCTCCTTCTGGTGCTGGCAATAATGTGATCTAAGACTCAAACTGACTACTACCAATAAGTCTCTTCTGGTCACCTGAAGTTATTTATCTAATCTCAGAGCCTACAGAATCATGTTAGTTATTTATTTCCTTGACTTCCAGACAGGCAAGCAAACAAGCAGGCAAACACGCAGACAGAGAGACAGGACACACACACACAGCGCACCCGGACAAGGACATAGTCCCAGGGGTAGGGAATGTGTTCCCTGCCAGGTGGCATGGCTTTGCCTCAGCAGTGGCTGTAGCAGCACAATCCAGCCTCAAGTTTCTCTCCCCACCTTGGCAGCCATCCAGAAAGCACACCAGGTGAGGAAGGGTTAAGTGCCTGAGGCCAGGCTCAGACAGTGGCTGCTGTGGAGCAGGGCAGCTTCCAGCCCATGGCACCAAGGGCTCCTCCAGCACGAGCCTGCCAGCCGCCGCCTTTGTTGATGGCCTCTGCCACATGCTCGGCTGACACGCGATGCTCCGCCCTGGCGGGGCTGGTGCCAGGCTGCCGTCCAAGCACCCGGCAGAGCGCCTGGCTGGCCGCCGGTCTGGGGAGACTCTGAGGTGCGCTCACTCAGAGTCCCAGGCCTGCGGCCGGGGTTCCCAGACAGACAGTGAGGAGTGGCTCCCCAGCTGGAAAGTGTCAGGTTTCAACCGGTTCCACCACTTTCCCCCACTCAGGCCCCATCCCCTGGCCTGATTACCCCTTCCCCGCTGCACCTCTTTAGGCTCCCGCAACTGCCCGCTTCACTGCAGCGCCCTGGAAATCTTCCCTTCGGTCCGCAGAGACAAGCCCCCAATCCTGGCCTGGAAAACAAAGTCTGCCAAGCCGAACTGCAGAAAGCCACCCGGCTCAAAAGGAAGGATTGCAGTGGCTCTGGCTCTTATTGGGCAGGAGCAGAGGTTAGGCAGATAACCAAATTGGAGCTCAGAGAGGAGTGCAAGAGTGCTCATCCAGTCGGGCCCGTGGGATTCACAGGAATGATAAAAGCCAAGGCCACAATCACCTGGCAGGGACCAGCTGCTGAGGAGGACAGAGGCAGGCCTTGGCCCCCAGCCCCAGCAGACGTAGCCCCCATTCCAGCCCTCAGGCCTACTTGTTGCATGTGAAGCCGGTGGAACTGGTCTGCAATGCACCGAAGCTTCCGGGCGATCTGTACCTCTGCGCGATGTTGCCACTGACCTTCCGGGGGCTGCTCCTCAAGGGGCAAGCCTGCAGGGAAACTGGCAGGGAGAGGAAGCCGATAGCCAGCATTGCCTGCAAAGAGAGAAGACCCACATCTCAGTCTGCTCCACCCCTGCCCCACCCTCTCCCTGTCTGCCCTTCTGACGGTGACCTGGGCCTGAGGGTAGATATCAGGATGGGGAGGAAGAGAAAGCAGCCTTCCTTCATCAGGGCACTCTGCCAAGCTTGGACAGTCTACCCTGCCTGCTGCCCAAGCGTAAAAAAAAAGCTGATGAAGGGACTTGGGGTGTGGTTCAGTGGCTGCTAGTATGTGCAAGGCCCTGGGTTCAATCTCCCGCTCAAGTGCAGCAGCGCGGGCGCGCGCGGGCGCGCGCGCTCCCGCGCACACACATATACACACACACACACACACACACACACACACACACACAAGTTGCTGTCAGGAGAAGAAAGGAGGAGCCCCAGCCCTCTCTTCACTCTTTACTGTGTTCCAGTCACTGTCAGTGCCATGGCACAGGGCAGGGTGGTAATGTGTGCAAGAGAGCGTCCTTATTTATCAAGCCACACTTGCTCACAGTTTATTATTAATGTAGCAGCAGGTTGCAGCTCTTCCCTGGAAAACCACAGGTAGCAAGCAGCCCTAGAGAGTTCCTGGGGTGAGCAAAGCAGGACACAGAGAAAAACAAAACACGGAGCATCTTCACTCTTGTAGTGCAGCAGAGAGAAAGATGGGCTCAACACCCGAAGCTCTAGCAGCGGCACAAAAGCGACAGGAAACTCCTGAGGCCCAAAGAGCAGGCCGTTCCTCTCTGGAGGTCCCCCCAAACCAGCAGGGTGCTCGCCAAGTGCTGGTGCCGGCGTGGCCGCTAGGGGCACTAGCCCGCCAGCCTCCTCACTCCTTTTCTCCCTTTCCAGGCCGCCAGCCTTGTCCAACTTCTCAGTCTCCCTTCAGAATTCACTTCACCAGCAGCGTCCCGTGGAGCAGTTCTCTCAGGCAACAGTGTGGCCCACTCCCTTTGGCATATCCCACTCTGCTTAGGCAGATACTGCAGGGTCACCTTGAACCCACACCCTTCCTCCTCCAGCCAGTATGCTAAAAAAGAAAACAGCAAGTGGCCAGCCCTGCCCTTTTGCCAAAGGAGGGCATATGTCTTATAAAACAAACCACTTATGCCCACAAATGAAGGGGTCTTATCTGATTGAGAGTTACAAAGAGCCTCTCTTCTGGCACTGGGCCTAGGCAGGCCCAGCCTCTTTCTCCATTTCCCCTTCCAAGCACAGAAAGTCCCAAGTGACAACTGGGGTCATCTTCTGCCTTCAGGAACCCTCCAGACCCAAACTGGCTGGGTTTTCCCCACTGAGTGTCAACAGCGAGTCACAGATCTCCCAGCCTTCTCTAGGGTAACCTTAGCCACTTGAGGAGAGGCAAGTCACTACCAGGACTCAAAAGACTGAGCCACTCCCGGGCACAGGATGTCAAAGGAGACACCCTGAGCCCCAGGACCCCTCCAGGAATGGACAACGGAACAGAAAGCAAAGCAAAGCAATGTATCTTGTGTGTGGCTCAGCACAGGTGACACGCAGTAACAAGCAGAGACACAAAAGGCAGAAAGATGAGGGATCGATGGCCCCTGCTGCTTATTTTGAGAAGGAAATAGCGGAGGACAGGTTTGGGGAGGGAGAATCCCCACTCTTCCCCCAACCTCTACAGGAAGGGTCCTAAGGCTAAGAGCACTCACCATAAAAGAGTCGCTGGGGTTCCTCAGTCACCCCACAAGGCAGCATGACACCCTGGCTTGGAGAGGATGGGCTGAGGGTCTGAGTGGCCTTGTCTTCCTGGCTGGTGGGGCGAAGCCCAGGGCCACAGCAGTGGGTGAGAGGGAAGAGGTGCAGCCGACCAAGGGGACAATCCAGCTGGCTCTGGGCAAACAGATCAGCAGAGAGCAGGCTCCCGGGCTGGGTCCCCGGCTCCCCATCCTCAGGTTGGAATACATCATCTTCCAGCTCCTCCACACACTGAGGTGGCTCCATCTCCCCTGTTAGGGACCAACGCAGGCATCTGGGATGCTGCCCATCCAGGCCACACCCAGAAGTCCTCTCTCTCTTCTTTCTTTCCCTTATCTGAGGGAGCTGAACTAGGCGCTGATGGGATGAGTGATGCCCAGTCCCTACATTCAGACTGCCTCCATGTCAAGGGCCTCTCCAAACTCTTCCTGGGGCCTGTCAGAGTCACCCTTCCCCTGACCTCTTCTGACCTAAGCAGCTCACAAGGTTTGAGTCTGAGGGTTGTGAGCAACAGCAGGTGCTACCAGCACACAAGGTATCTAGGAAAACAGACACAAGTCTAGCCTCTGTAAGTGGCTATGGGAGCCAGAAAGGGACAATGACTGGCCATATAAACAATGCTCAACATACACAAACACACACATACACACACAGCCAACCACCAAAGGAGCAGTCTCCAAGCTCTCATCTCAGTCACAGCTAAGCTCTAAGCTCAGCAGCAAAAACAAACCAGCAGTAATTCTGGGCCAACTAGGTTCCCTCCAAACCTGCTAAGCCCCGCCCTACCACCATGCGCGCGGTCTCCACCCCCTGCTTGCACAACACAACAAACAGCTCTGAGTGTAGTTAGAGTGTGTCCTGGGAGAGGGGATAAAGACCCAAGTTAGTCACTGCAGCCGCCTCCTCAGTACTCCTCTAGCACAGCAGAGCTATCTACCCACAAGTTGGCCTTGGGGTAGGTCCAGCCTTTGGCAAACGTGTCCAGCTTCCCCCCCACAACCCGGCCCCGTTCAGTCTGTTCACTAGTCTCCAATCTTCCTCACCCCCCAGCCTCCTGTTCCTGCCAGGGCTGACCTGAGATTGCTGCACTGTGCCTCACAGAAGGAAGTGAAATTCAGTCCTCTCTCTGACCTCATTCACTGCCTGTACCACTCAGGTTGTTGATTTGAGCTTCTTGGTAATACAGAAGTTCCTCTTGCTCCACGTGATGGCTCTTGGAAGTCTGCTCTCTGAGACATCCAGCCCCACCCCACCTCCACACCTCCTCTTAAGACCCTGGGGGCAACTAGAAGCTGCAACCACCTGAATGGTTAAGGAAATGGCCAAAGCTTATCCCTATCAGACTCAATTCGCTATTTCCAAGAGTTCTATCCCCCAGCATGATGCCTTTGAAGCACAAGCCAAGTGGTCTGTAGGGTAGGATTCTCAGTCAAATTCACAAGCCCTGCCTTTCCCAAATGCAAGTTCTCTGAAGCTTGCTCCAAGCTTCCCTCCACCCCATCCAGTCCCTTGCTACCTATAGTCCTGTCTCCGCCCTCTTCCCAGGAGAGTGAGGCCTGATAGGATGACAAAGCAGACTTCTCTGGATAGTGTTTCCCAGTGTGTGGGGGAGTGCTTATCAGCAACAGGAAACAAAGTGCTTCCCTGAGAGGACCAAGTGCTGTCACCTGGCAGGGCCTCCCCTTCTGCCCTTCAGCCTCCTCTGCCGGCTGGCAAACCCAACATAAGAAGGGGCGCTCCACAGCCAATCAAAAGAGGAGTCATTGTATTGGTGTTTTTTTGAAGCTTATCACCTCCCCTCCCCCTCCCAGCAGAGCCCCAAAGTCCAGCTCTTCCCTGGACTGGACAGTGGGGGAGGTGTAGCCAGAAGGCGTGGCTCTGCAAGCTCCGGGGACCCCCTGCCACTCTCCACAGGAACTGCAGGTGGCTCTCTGGCTGCTGGGAGCGTCGGGAGGGGTGCTGACACGATCAAGTAAAGGGACCCTCTCCTCCCTCTTCCCGGGGCTGAAGTAGTGATGCCACACTGGCAGGAGGAGGGCACTTCCTGAGGACACTGCCAGGGAATGCTTTATTCCTACCAAGGGAACTAAAGCGCGTAGGAACCAACCCAGAGCCGAAGAGATCGAACTAGGATGCTGAACTTAGACTCCTCCTCCTCTTAGGAGAAGGCAGTGGTTAAAATCTCGGGGCGCGCGCGCGCGCACACACACACACACACACACACACACACACATACACACACACACACACGCAGACCTGGGTGACTCCAGGAGAGAGAATCGGCCTCCGAGTCGTGGTGCCAGGGCTCTGCGCCAGGGTCCAGCGTGACGAGCACTCGGGGGCTGGGCGCCCAGACTCGGTGGGGAAGGAGGGGAAAGCCCAGCTGTTAAGGAGAGGGGTTTTCAGACTCCGCAGGGAGGCTGAACGCCCCAAATTCCCCGCCCTACCCCAAAGTCAGACCTAGAGGCCAGGCCATCTCAGACGCCCAGGTCTGTCCGGCAGTGCGCCCCAGGATCCCTGCCCACAGGGACACCATTCCTTCGGGCTCCAAACGCTACCCACTCCTGGAATAGCGCGCCCAGATAAGGGTTCTGCATCCCGTCCTCACAGCCTAGCGCCCCAAACCCTCATGGTCTCCCCAGATGCCAGCAGCTCAAACCCTTCCCGGCCCCCACGCGCAGAGCGACGCCGCCCCCCACTTCCCCGAGGAGGTGCGATCCAACCTCGCCCAGCCCCCGGCCGCCCGGGAGCTCACCGGGCTGCGGCGGGAGGCGGGCGGCGCGGGCTGGGGCGGCGTCGGCGGCGCGGGCGGGCGCGGAGGAGGCCAGGGCACACCGCGCGGTATTGTTTCCAAAATACGCCCGCTCGGGGCATCCCGCAAACAGCTGACGAGGCCCCGCCCCTGCGCGTCACGCGGACCGCGGGCCAATGGCGAGTGCAGCTCAAGTCCCGGGCTGGGCGGCTGCCAGGGACGGTCACGAATGTACCAACCTTCCCTCGGAAACACTGTAAGGGGCCGCGCGCATTTCTGACCACAGTCAGAAGCGCAGCTGGAGCGCGGTTGCCCGCGTAACTTGCGTTCCCAGTGCAGGCTCCAGATGCGCCAGTCCCTGAGGTAGCTATTCGGTGGGTAGAGGGAGCGCCGAAGTGACTTTCGTCTCTTCCTCTGGAATGGGCTGAATAATTGAGGCGCGTCCACCGCGGGATGGGGTCTGGCTGCGTCCAGTGGTGCAAGTTGTTGAGGGCGCAGAGGATCCCTACTGGAAGAGCGCCCTCCCGCCTGCAGGCGGAGCAGAAGCAAGCCCCAGCCTCAAAGCCGGGGGAGCCTGTGAACAAGCGTGTCTGGCGCTGTTCCTAAATGACATTTGGATCAAGCACAGTCACAGGGGCCCACATGTCCTTTACTGGGAGCAAACACTGGGGAAATAAGCGTCTGAGAGGAGAGATCCAGAATGTAAGGCTCCCTGGGCAACTGACACACACTGCGTTCAAGGCAGCATCTAAAGGCCGTGCGAGGGCTGCCGGGAGAGCAAAGCACCCCGCACCGAAGGCCCTATCAGCAACGGCTTGTCTGGGCTACTGCATATTTATGGAGCACCTACTCGGTGCCAGGGGCTGGACTAAGAGCCAAAACCCTGGGGAGCACTCAGGAAGCTGACAGCTCGCTAGGAAATAATAGAAAACTACATAAATCCTGTTCATTCTGGGGATACTGACTGTTGAGAGATGCAGAAAAATTACAGGTGTGGTGGTGCACACCTGTAATCCCAGCACTCCAGGAGGCTGAGGCAAGAGGACTACAAATAGGAGCCCAGCTTGGGCAATTTGGCAACTTAGCAAGTCTGTCTCAAAATAAAAAAAAAAAAATTAGAAAGGACTGGAGAAGTAGCTTTGTGGAAAGGCTGTTTTCGATCCCTAATATATACTAGAGAAAAAAAAAATGCAAGGACTGTGGAAGGCATCAGGAAGGTTTTTGAGTTGGATCTTGAAGAATATGAAAAGTTTTCAATAAAAGAAAACCAGAAAAAAAAAAAAAAAAAACCCGGGGGGAAAAAAAACACCCCAGAGGCAGCAGAATAAATGGCCAGCCAGGAGAGGCCAGCTCAGAGGCAGGGACAGGCTGGACTACTGGATCGCCAGTTGCATGCGGATACAGGAAGGGTGGGCATGAGCCAGCAGGTCGAGGTCAGATGGCAGAGGTGTCCCTGGAATGCCAGGCTGAGGAATCTGTGTTTTATAAAGGGGAAGCAGTGGAGATTTTGTAGATGTGTCACTTGACCAAGCCTGAATTTTAAAAAAGATAAATGAAGAGCAGAAGTCAGTGAGGGGAAACAGCCCTCCAATAGTCTGGATGCTTCCTGACAGGAGCCTGACCAATAGAAGGCCAAGTGTCTGTCTGTCTGTCTCTCACTGTAAGTTCAGATGGATTTAATTAAGTGAAGCTGGGATCCTCAGCCCAGTGGAGACTGAAGTCTCCTTGTATACTCCTCACATCCGCCCTTTCCCCAGCTCCCTCAGAGGGCCCCTGGAAAGCGGTGAAGCAGGCATGCTAAGGATTGTGACTGCTACAGTAGGAAAATACTGTCCCCAAGGGACGGAGAGTAGGGGTAAGAGGAACAGGACAGAGTCAGTAGGCCAGCATCCAGTCCTCCTCCCAGGAGTTGACAGATGACCAGGAAGAGGTGCTGGAGCCAAAAGCAGGGTCATCATTTTAGCAGAAGCCTAGACTTGCGCACATGCCACAGGGGAGAAGAGAGGATCAACTGCTGAGGAGGGCACTTGGAACCCTTCACAGTTTCCCACGCATGGACCTCCCTTGCCTTCTTCCCTCCACCTGCTTATTGGTTTTCTACCAGCCAGTGCCTCAGGCTGGCCAGTGCTATCTGTGGGGTCAAGAGTGGAACTGAAGGACAAAGCTGCTTCAGATCTGTCCTCTGAGTCAGCACAGGCCGAGGGGGTAGCCTAGCCTAGGGTCATCCTAGTTCTCCTGAGCCACCTGAGATGCCAAAGCTGTGGGCTTCATTATGGCCCTGATGGTAGAATTGGGTCACAAGGCAAAGAAGCTGGGAGAGTCTGGTTTTACCTGGGATCTACAGGCTCACCAGAGTCCTGAGCTCTAGGGACTATGAACCCCTAAAGATGGCTAAACTGTGTTTATGAATGCACACAGACATTTTTGTGGATGGGCTGGCTTTATAGCTTATAACAATTTCCCAAAGGCTCTGTGGCTTTATAAAAGGTTAAAAACTACCATTGTAAACTTGGCACAGTGGGGCACACTTGTAATGCCAGTACTGGGGAGGCTGAAACGGGAGGACTGCAAGTTCAAACTGAGCTGACCAACTTAGTGACTTACTGAGACCCTGTATCAAAAAAAAAGAAAAAGAAAAAGAAAAAAGACTTGGAGATACAGCTCAGTGCAAAGGACCTGAGTTCAAATCCCCTGGGGAGGAGAAAGGG